CGTACAGGGTTGATTCCTTTTGAGACAGTCTCAGAATGGACCAAAGTAGGTGCCTGAAGTGGACTGACAGCCCTGAGTTCCCTCAGTCACGAGCAGTAACACACACCTGGTCTTATTCAAATTTCAATAGTACATGGATTACGAAATCAATTAGAACCGGCACGGCTGAACGTACAGGGTTGATTCCTTTTGAGACAGTCTCAGAATGCCTCTGAAAAGCCCTTAAATCAGTTCTGACAGCCCTGAGATCCCTCAGTCACGAGTGGTAACACGCACCTGCGCTTATTCAATTTTCAATAGTACATGGATTACGAAATCAATTAGAATCGACACGGCTGAACGTACAGGGTTCATTCCTTTTGAGACAGTCTCAGAATGGGCCAAAGTAGGTGCCTGAAGTGAACTGACAGCCCTGAGTTCCCTCAGTCACGAGCAGTAACACACACCTGGTCTTATTCAAATTTCAATAGTACATGGATTATGAAATCAATTAGAACCGGCACGGCTGAACGTACAGGGTTGATTCCTTTTGAGACAGTCTCAGAATGCCTCTGAAAAGCCCTTAAATCAGTTCTGACAGCCCTGAGTTCCCTCAATCACGAGTGGTAACACGCACCTGGGCTTATTCAAATTTCAATAGTACATGGATTACGAAATCAATTAGAACCGGCACGGCTGAACGTACAGGGTTGATTCCTTTTGAGACAGTCTCAGAATGCCTCTGAGAAGCCCCTTAAATCAGTTCTGACAGCCCTGAGATCCCTCATTCACGAGTGGTAACACGCACCTGGGCTTATTCAAATTTCATAGTACATGGATTACGAAATCATTAGATCTGCACGGCTGAACGTACAGGGTTGATTCCTTTTGAGACAGTCTCAGAATGCCTCTGAAAAGCCCTTAAATCAGTTCTGACAGCCCTGAGTTCCCTCAATCACGAGTGGTAACACGCACCTGGGCTTATTCAAATTTCAATAGTACATGGATTACGAAATCAATTAGAACCGGCACGGCTGAACGTACAGGGTTGATTCCTTTTGAGACAGTCTCAGAATGGGCCAAAGTAGGTGCCTGAAGTGGACTGACCGCCCTGAGATCCCTCGGGCACGAGTGGTAACACATACCTGCGCTTATTCAATTTCAATAGTACATGGAATACGAAATGAATTAGAATCGACACAGCTGAACGTACAGGGTTGATTCCTTTTGAGACAGTCTCAGAATGGGCCAAAGTAGGTGCCTGAAGTGGACTGACAGCCCTGAGATCCCGCAGTCACGAGTGGTAACACGTACCTGCGCTTATTCAAATTCCAATAGTACATGGATTTATGAAATCAATTAGAATCGACACGGCTGAACATACAGGGTTCATTCCTTTTCAGACAGTCTCAGAATGGGCCTCTGAAAAGCCCTGAGAACAGTTCTGACAGCCCTGAGATCCCTCAGTCACGAGTGGTAACACGTACCTGCGCTTATTCAAATTTCAATAGTACATGGATTACGAAATCAATTAGAATCGACACGGCTGAACGTACAGGGTTGATTCCTTTTGGGACAGTCTCAGAATGGGCCAAAGTAGGTGCCTGAAGTGGACTGACAGCCCTGAGATCCCTCAGTCACGAGCAGTAACACACACCTGGTCTTATTCAAATTTCAATAGTACATGGATTACGAAATCAATTAGAATCGACACGGCTGAACATACAGGGTTGATTCCTTTTGAGACAGTCTCAGAATGCCTCTGAAAAGCCCTTAAATCAGTTCTGACAGCCCTGAGTTCCCTCAATCACGAGTGGTAACACGCACCTGGGCTTATTCAAATTTCAATAGTACATGGATTACGAAATCAATTAGAACCGGCACGGCTGAACGTACAGGGTTGATTCCTTTTGAGACAGTCTCAGAATGGGCCAAAGTAGGTGCCTGAAGTGGACTGACCGCCCTGAGATCCCTCGGGCACGAGTGGTAACACATACCTGCGCTTATTCAATTTCAATAGTACATGGATTACGAAATCAATCAGAATCGACACGGCTGAACGTACAGGGTTGATTCCTTTTGAGACAGTCTCAGAATGGACCAAAGTAGGTGCCTGAAGTGGACTGACAGCCCTGAGTTCCCTCAGTCACGAGCAGTAACACACACCTGGTCTTATTCAAATTTCAATAGTACATGGATTACGAAATCAATTAGAACCGGCACGGCTGAACGTACAGGGTTGATTCCTTTTGAGACAGTCTCAGAATGCCTCTGAAAAGCCCTTAAATCAGTTCTGACAGCCCTGAGATCCCTCAGTCACGAGTGGTAACACGCACCTGCGCTTATTCAATTTTCAATAGTACATGGATTACGAAATCAATTAGAATCGACACGGCTGAACGTACAGGGTTCATTCCTTTTGAGACAGTCTCAGAATGGGCCAAAGTAGGTGCCTGAAGTGAACTGACAGCCCTGAGTTCCCTCAGTCACGAGCAGTAACACACACCTGGTCTTATTCAAATTTCAATAGTACATGGATTATGAAATCAATTAGAACCGGCACGGCTGAACGTACAGGGTTGATTCCTTTTGAGACAGTCTCAGAATGCCTCTGAAAAGCCCTTAAATCAGTTCTGACAGCCCTGAGTTCCCTCAATCACGAGTGGTAACACGCACCTGGGCTTATTCAAATTTCAATAGTACATGGATTACGAAATCAATTAGAACCGGCACGGCTGAACGTACAGGGTTGATTCCTTTTGAGACAGTCTCAGAATGCCTCTGAAAAGCCCTTAAATCAGTTCTGACAGCCCTGAGTTCCCTCAATCACGAGTGGTAACACGCACCTGGGCTTATTCAAATTTCAATAGTACATGGATTACGAAATCAATTAGAACCGGCACGGCTGAACGTACAGGGTTGATTCCTTTTGAGACAGTCTCAGAATGGGCCAAAGTAGGTGCCTGAAGTGGACTGACCGCCCTGAGATCCCTCGGGCACGAGTGGTAACACATACCTGCGCTTATTCAATTTCAATAGTACATGGATTACGAAATCAATTAGAATCGACACAGCTGAACGTACAGGGTTGATTCCTTTTGAGACAGTCTCAGAATGGGCCAAAGTAGGTGCCTGAAGTGGACTGACAGCCCTGAGATCCCGCAGTCACGAGTGGTAACACGTACCTGCGCTTATTCAAATTCCAATAGTACATGGATTTTGAAATCAATTAGAATCGACACGGCTGAACATACAGGGTTCATTCCTTTTGAGACAGTCTCAGAATGGGCCAAAGTAGGTGCCTGAAGTGGACTGACAGCCCTGAGATCCCTCAGTCACGAGTGGTAACACGTACCTGCGCTTATTCAATTTTCAATAGTGCATGGATTACGAAATCAATTAGAATCGACACGGCTGAACGTACAGGGTTGATTCCTTTTGAGACAGTCTCAGAATGGACCAAAGTAGGTGCCTGAAGTGGACTGACAGCCCTGAGATCCCTCAGTCACAAGTGGTAACACGCACCTGGGCTTATTCAAATTTCAATAGTACATGGATTACGAAATCAATTAGAATCGACACGGCTGAACGTACAGGGTTGATTCCTTTTCAGACAGTCTCAGAATGCCTCTGAAAAGCCCTGAGAACAGTTCTGACAGCCCTGAGATCCCTCAGTCACGAGTGGTAACACGTACCTGCGCTTATTCAAATTTCAATAGTACATGGATTACGAAATCAATTAGAATCGACACGGCTGAACGTACAGGGTTGATTCCTTTTGGGACAGTCTCAGAATGGGCCAAAGTAGGTGCCTGAAGTGGACTGACAGCCCTGAGATCCCTCAGTCACGAGCAGTAACACACACCTGGTCTTATTCAAATTTCAATAGTACATGGATTACGAAATCAATTAGAATCGACACGGCTGAACATACAGGGTTGATTCCTTTTGAGACAGTCTCAGAATGCCTCTGAAAAAGCCCTTAAATCAGTTCTGACAGCCCTGAGATCCCTCAGTCACGAGTGGTAACACGTACCTGCGCTTATTCAATTTTCAATAGTACATGGATTACAAAATCAATTAGAATCGACACGGCTGAACGTACAGGGTTGATTCCTTTTCAGACAGTCTCAGAATGCCTGTGAAAAGCCCCGAGAACAGTTCGGACAGCCCTGAGATCCCTTGGGCTCGAGCAGTAACACACACCTGGTCTTATTCAAATTTCAATAGTACATGGATTATGAAATCAATTAGAATTGACACGGCTGAACGTACAGGGTTGATTCCTTTGGAGACAGTCTCAGAATGCCTGTGAAAAGCCCTTAAATCAGTTCTGACAGCCCTGAGATCCCTTGGGCTCGAGCAGTAACACACACCTGGTCTTATTCAAATTTCAATAGTACATGGATTACGAAATCAATTAGAATCGACACGGCTGAACGTACAGGGTTCATTCCTTTTGAGACAGTCTCAGAATGGGCCAAAGTAGGTGCCTGAAGTGGAGCGACAGCCCTGAGATCCCTCAGTCACGAGTGGTAACACGTACCTGCGCTTATTCAATTTTCAATAGTACATGGATTACGAAATCAATTAGAATCGACACGGCTGAACGTACAGGGTTGATTCCTTTTCAGACAGTCTCAGAATGCCTGTGAAAAGCCCCGAGAACAGTTCTGACAGCCCTGAGATCCCTTGGGCTCGAGCAGTAACACACACCTGGTCTTATTCAAATTTCAATAGTACATGGATTACGAAATCAATTAGAATCGACACGGCTGAACGTACAGGGTTCATTCCTTTTGAGACAGTCTCAGAATGGGCCAAAGTAGGTGCCTGAAGTGGACTGACAGCGCTGAGTTCCCTCAGTCACAAGTGGTAACACGCACCTGGGCTTATTCAAATTTCAATAGTACATGGATTACGAAATCAATTAGAATCGACGCGGCTGAACGTACAGGGTTGATTCCTTTTGAGACAGTCTCAGAGTGGGCCAAAGTAGGTGCCTGAAGTGGAGCGACAGCCCTGAGATCCCTCAGTCACGAGTGGTAACACGTACCTGCGCTTATTCAAATTTCAATAGTACATGGATTATGAAATCAATTAGAATTGACACGGCTGAACGTACAGGGTTGATTCCTTTGGAGACAGTCTCAGAATGCCTGTGAAAAGCCCTTAAATCAGTTCTGACAGCCCTGAGATCCCTTGGGCTCGAGCAGTAACACACACCTGGTCTTATTCAAATTTCAATAGTACATGGATTACGAAATCAATTAGAACCGGCACGGCTGAACGTACAGGGTTGATTCCTTTTGAGACAGTCTCAGAATGCCTATGAAAAGCCCTTATATCAGTTCTGGCAGCCCTGAGATCCCTCAGTCACGAGTGGTAACACGTACCTGCGCTTATTCAATTTTCAATAGTACATGGATTACGAAATCAATTAGAACCGGCACGGCTGAACGTACAGGGTTGATTCCTTTTGAGACAGTCTCAGAATGCCTATGAAAAGCCCTTATATCAGTTCGGGCAGCCCTGAGATCCCTCAGTCACGAGTGGTAACACGTACCTGCGCTTATTCAATTTTCAATAGTGCATGGATTACGAAATCAATTAGAATCGACACGGCTGAACGTACAGGGTTCATTCCTTTTGAGACAGTCTCAGAATGCCTATGAAAAGCCCTTATATCAGTTCTGGCAGCCCTGAGATCCCTCAGTCACGAGTGGTAACACGTACCTGCGCTTATTCAAATTTCAATAGTACATGGATTACAAAATCATTTAGAATCGACACGGCTGAACGTACAGGGTTGATTCCTTTTGAGACAGTCTGAGAATGGGCCAAAGTAGGTGCCTGAAGTGGACTGACAGCCCTGAGATCCCTCAGTCACAAGTGGTAACACGCACCTGGGCTTATTCAAATTTCAATAGTACATGGATTACGAAATCAATTAGAATCGACGCGGCTGAACGTACAGGGTTGATTCCTTTTGAGACAGTCTCAGAGTGGGCCAAAGTAGGTGCCTGAAGTGGACTGACAGCGCTGAGATCCCTCAGTCACGAGTGGTAACACGTACCTGCGCTTATTCAAATTTCAATAGTACATGGATTACGAAATCAATTAGATTCGACACGGCTGAACGTAGAGGGTTAATTCCTTTTCAGACAGTCTCAGATTGTCCCAAAGTAGGTGCCTGAAGGGTTCTGACAGCCCTGAGTTCTCTCAGGGAAGAGTAGTAACACGCACCTGTGCTTATTCGAATTTCAATAGTACATGAATTTCGAAATCGAATTGAATCGACACGGCTGAACGTACAGGGTTAATTCCTTTTCAGACAGTCTCAGATTGTCCCAAAATAGGTGCCTGAAGTGTTCTGACAGCACTGACTTCTCTCAGGCACGAGTAGTAACACACACCTAGGCTTATTCGAATTTCAATAGTACATGGATTTCGAAATCGAATTGAATCAACACGGGGGAACATACAGGGTTAATTCCTTTTGAGACCGGCTCATAATGATTGCGAAAACCCCTGAGAAGTGTTCTGACAGCCCTGAGTTCTCTCAGGCACAAGTAGTAACACGCACCTAGGCTTATTCGAATTTCAATAGTACATGGATTTCGAAATCGAATTGAATCGACACGGCTGAACGTACAGAGGAAATAAGTTTTGTGACAGTCAAAATAGC